TGAACTCAGCTTGGGGGAGCCAGGCTCCACACCAGTCCTACCCCTCTTCTTCAGCCATGCACAGGACACTGTTGGAACTGACACATTTATGATTCATACAGGCAGCTGTTTATTTTACAAACAGCCTTGCCAGCCAAATCATAGAGCAACAAATCTGAACTGGAAGATACAAACACCACGGCAAAAATGACTGCGATAAATCAGGGGAAATTAAAAATCATTAAAAGATTGCAACACTGAATGCAGGCACGAGATCTGCTATCTTACATCTAAGTGAAGGAAACATACCCCTCAGCAAGTCTTCAGTGCCAAGCATTCAGGTATCTAATAACTGGGTCAGAGTTTCCCTCTATACCTCTCGCGACTTATAAGGAAAACTGTGAAGAACACGTACTGATTCAGCTTGATAAGAGAGTACTTTGAAAAGGTTATTCTCCACATCAGCTCTGTGCTCATGAATATCTGCTTCACCATCGCTCCCCTTACGTAACTTTGCATACAGCTTCTCTATGTTCTGGAAAACAAAGCACAGGCATCACCCAAGGAACTTACAATGTGTATGTAAGAAATTAAAACTGGAAATTAAAACTTACACCCACGGCATTCTCTAGAAATCCATCAGCAAGATCAGCTTTTCCAACATCTATCCATCCTTTCCCAGTTTTCATAGACATCTGAAGGAGAAAATGGTAAGTCCTTTGTGAAAATAGTCCCTTTCAAGAAAGGCAAGGTAAGATCTCATTTTCTTGAGGTGTATCTAACACAGCACAAGGGTATTTCAGCTCTGCAATTTCTGACCAGCAACTCTCACTTCTGAATGAAGTCCTGAACACTTCGATGCAGCATAAGAATTATGGTGCCCTCCTCAACAATATTATAACATACTGAAATAAATGAATGTGTTGCTCATAACACATTTTGCCCTGTGAAAAGATGTGATGCTAACCAGACATTCCTAACTCCACTGTCTCAGCAAGGTAAAATACAGATCCCACTTCAGCCTGTACTTTGTTCTCTTAAAAGGGAAAAAACGGGATCATCAATTTTATCTTTCCTCAAGTGATGAGAAGAGACAGTCAGCAATACTCCTGCCAAAACACCAACTACCCTTCCAGAACTACACATATATCTCTACTCCCTCTCCAAAACAAGCATCATAAGATTTGAAGACTTCCCTGGGGGACCAACTGTACCTCATTGCTCACCCACAATTAGCCTTACCAAAATCTGCCTTCGGATGGTTCCCTCCGGAGGATCTGGGCCCTCACAAAGGCGGATCAGTCTGCAAGCAACAAGCCGCACTGCAAGGAAACAGTGCAGCCATTCATCAGCTTCCTTTGCACTTTGGCTTTGGCTTTGGTTTTTGTTTGTTGGTTGTTGTGTTTTTTTTTACAGAAAGTCAGGCCCTGCCATATCTGAAAGGCTGTTTGGCATTTGAAATTAAAAGAGAGAACAATTTGAAAGCTTCGGGAGTCAAAGCAAATCTGAATTTTAGCCAAGATGATTAAAATTGCTATTCAGGCAGTAAGGAATAAAAAAATATTCTCATTAAAATACCTATTAAACAATTTTGAGAGAGTTTAAGGTAAATACATGGTATTCAAAGACTTAATTACATTGCAGGTGCTCACAGTAACATGTCTTGAGAGCCTCAAAATAGCCTTGAGCAAAATAAGGAAATTAAGTTTAATAATCTTTACAAAGAAAAAAGCAAAAATATTTTCAGGCCTTCTTTATACATCAGGGATGGAAAAGACACTACTTAATGTATTTAAAACAGCCTCTCCCTGGCCCTTCAGCTGTGATCTGAGAGCATTACACTATTTTGTGTAAACTTACCCTTTTCCCTTTACCTGACACAATTTATATGATGTAGATTATACATAATTTTGACTATAATCCCTCAAGACAAGAATGTAGGCCTGATACTACAATCCCATAGAACCACAGAAAGAACACATTGAGGGAAAAGATGAAAAAGCTCACTTCTCCTTTCCCCCAGCCCTGCTCCAGGCTACCAAGAGAATCCACCATTTGTGTACCCAGCTAAAGCAGGTCAGTAAAAAGAGGATTTAGTTTTTCTGTATATAAACATTGATGAGATGATTAAAGAAACGATTTCACTTGATATAAACTAAGTGACCAACAGCCTAAATTTTACATCTGTTTTATTTCCATGTATTTTAAGATTAGAACCATGGCATCAGAAGGTAAATTGCAGCTTCCTTGTGCTCTGGCACAGAAATGAGGAGTGATAAAAATGCCTGCACTGATTGTGAGCTACAAGAAGGTACCTATTACACCTCCCTGAACAGTTTATACAAGCCCAACTGTACGTTCTCCTCTCTCTACACCCTATCTGCAAAGCCCCAAACAAATCTACAGCACTACATATGTGCCTGTCAGCAGCGAGCTGTTCACTTCCATGCTGCAGCACGGGGAACACATTTAGGAAGGTACAGAACATACGTACGTTTGGCTTTTTGCTCATCATTGACAACAGCACCCGTGTGTTTGGCCACAGCCCAGTTCCACAGGCTGACTGCACTCTCTTCAACCTGGATGGGAGAATTCCATGAGGTTTAATTTTGTCCTGCACGTGAGTCCCGTTGAAATTTACTACTGGAAAAAGAACCATCTTTCACAGGTACCACAGTAATGACCAGGTTTGTGCAACTCCCTCTGGCGTTGCAGTCAAAGGTGTGAGTTTTCCATAAAACTGTCACACGATCCCACAGGGACATCTTGAACAATGACCTGAAAACAGGCATGCTGAGTGGACCACACAGCATTTCTTCACCTGTAAGTATGGGTCATTCAAGTATACACAGCTGGCAGGGAGCACATACTCTTGTCACAAGCACATTTCATAAGACATAGTCTTACAAAGGCTATTTCACACCTGAAAACACGAGAGCACTTCTAAGATGAAGCAAGGTAAGACAGAACATGACTATGTAAATCCAAACTAAAGAGAACTAATTAAATCATATGGCAAGCAGCACATTTATGTCACATCATCCATCAGTGCCTTTGGCTTCAATTAGAAATTCTACATGAAAGGGAATTCTGTAAGGGAAGTGCCGGAATTAAGATGCATTCGAATATGTTCCTAAACAAATGCCATTAATTGAAATGTCCTAACCTACATTTCTACCAAGTCCAGACTTAGCAAAACATGACCTCACTCACCCCATCCATCTGGGATGCAAATTTCTCAGAAACACTCAGAGAGAAAAAAAATTTGTGCAATTTCACATCACCATGTCCAAAATACAACTGATTCCCTGGCAGCCTTCAGAATATATTATGTACACTGGAAACAGATTTAAGATCTGAAGGGATTGGAAAAGAATTGTAAGAATCTTATCAGGTTTGAGAAATATCTGTAGTAAGGCTTCATCTCTTTTACGTATCAAAAAGAAAACTGAGTAGCTAATTATTTTAAATACCTACACTGGGAACCTTTTGATATTAGCACCTGATAAACTTATAAATATAGAAAATGAGTACTTCCCACTCTAATATTATGTACTGGGTTTACCAGGCAGCTAAAATGGCGTGCTTGTTTGTTCTCTTCTTCCTCAAGTGTCTGCTGTCATACAGGATGAAAAGGACCTCTCCTCTGATCAAATACCAAACTGTTAACGCATCAGTGCTCCCTGCTTGCATTTTTACTTGAAATGACAGTTAGATATCACTAGAAATTTGAAATAATAAAAACCTGAACATCACCAGTAACTTTTCCCATTATCATCATAGAACAGTTGGAGTAGGAAGGGACCTTAAAGACCATCTTGTTCCAACTCCCCTGCCCTGGGCAGGGACACCTTCCACTAGACCAGGTTGCTCCAAGCCCTGTCCAATCTGGCCTTTGACACTTCCAGGGATGGGGCAGCCACAGCTTCTCTGGGCAATCTGTGACAGGGCCTCACCACTCTCACAGGGGAGAATTTCTTCCTAACATCTAATCTAAATATACCCTTTCAGTTTGAAGCCATTCCCCCTTGTGCTATGCCCAAAGTCCCTCTTCAGCTCATTGGGTGCCCCTTTAGGTACGAGAAGGGGCTTTAAGTTCTCCCCAGAGCCTTCTCATCTCTGGGCTGAATACCCCCAACTCTCAGCCTGTCCTAGGAAGGGTGTTCCAGCCCTCTGATCATCTCGGTGGCCTCGCTCCAACAGATCCGTCCTTCCTGTGCTGGGGACTGGAGCTGGACACAGCATCCAGGTGAGGTCATTGCAACACACTTTTACATTTAGGATCGACATTTCCCATTGATTTTTAAAATGTAACATTTCCCACTTTATTTTGGGCTACCACGACTCAAAAATGAACTGTTTTGTGTAGTGCCAAACACCGATCCTCGCCGCCGGGCGGTGGCGATGGGCGGCGGCAGCAGCGGGTGTTCGCAAGAGCTGCGGCACCAACCTGGGCGAGGCCCGCGGGGTGCGAGGCACACGCACCTCCCGGTCCCTCAGGTGGGCCGGGAGCGAGGGGCTCTCCCTGCGCCGCCCCCCCGGCCTCCTCAGGGAGGCTCCCCGCAGCCTGGAACAGCTCCTCGGTGAGCGCCGCGATTCGCGACGGCGCCTCCTCCCTCAGCAGCTCCCGCACCAGCCCTGCAACACAGGAGGAGAGCGGGGCGTGACACACAGCCGGGCGGCGTTTATCGGGGACGGAGAGCCCGCGCCCCGCGGCACCTTCCAGGGCGGCTACGCGCGGAACCTCCATGGCCGGGGCGGCCCCTCAGGGGCGGCTCCGTGAAGGGGCGCGGGACGGTGGGAACGGCGCCGCCGCACTGCGCGTGTGCCGGCCCGGGCCCAGCGCTCCCGGCGGACCTACTGCGCCGCCGATTGGCTGTTCTGCTCCTCCGCCCCGCCTCCCCGCCCCGAGCGACAGCTCTCTCAGCCAGTCGCGCGGCGCAGCGCGACGGCTCCACCCCCTCGCGAGCCGCCCGCGAGTTCCGGCGCGCGCGGTTCTTCCGGAAGCGTCCCGGGAGCGGGGCCGGGATCGAGGCCCGGGAGGGAGGCCCGGGAGCGGGGCCCGGGCGGGCGGGAGGGCGCGATGTCGGGGCTCCTGCACACCACGCTGAGCGGGCTCAACAGCGACTCGTACTGCGAGATCAGCCAGTACCGCGACCAGCACTTCAGGGTGCGCCTGAAGGGGGCGGGGAGGGCCGTGTCCGGGGCAGGGCCGGGATGGAGCGGGAGGGAGCGGGTCAGTGGGAGCGCTGACCCCGCCGCGTGCGCCTCTGTGCCCGCAGGGCAGCAGGCAGCTGCAGGAGAAGTCCCTGAAGATCTCCTCCACGCTGTACGTCGGCAACCTGTCCTTCTACACCACCGAGGAGCAGATCCAGGAGCTCTTCTCCAAGTGCGGGGATGTCAAGAGGATTGTCATGGGTCTGGACAAGATCAAGAAGACCCCCTGTGGCTTCTGCTTTGTCGAGTATCCTTTCTCTTCCCCTTCTGTCAGCCCGTGTGTGGTTACCACCTTTATTTCCAAGCACAGCTGTGCTGCTGCTACTGGAAGGGAGACACAGCCAGGTGCTTTCTGCCTTGGAAGGCACATCCCTTCCAACCTTGCACCTTGCTCTCCCCCACCTTAACTGTGAGACAGACTGTGCAGTGGTGCCCCACATCACAAGTGCCACCACTGCTATTCTTTCTGGAGGTGGCAGAGAGCTACTGTAATTTATTAATCTCTTTCATGGTTAAGGGCCAAAAGGAGAACTGAGTCCTCAGTCTGAGGTCTTCTGTGACCAGAGTATGCGTTGGCTTTCTCACCTCGGCTTTACACCTGAAGGAAGTAGCAGCATAAGCCACGGGGGCATTCCCAGGCACAGGGTACACGCTCATACAGGTCATGCCACGAGCTGTCTGTGCAGAGCTCCCCTTTTGTTCTGTTTCAGTCAAGTTTCACGTGGCATAAAGAGGCATATTACCTATTTCTTGCCCTTAGCAAGGCTTTAATGTCTTTGTTTCATCTTCTTGTCTCTGCAGGTACTGCCATTAAAGTACAGAATCCTCTCAGAGCGTTGGCCGGTTTTAGCGCAGTTTTTGATCCTGTAGGGAGGAAAAAGGCTGGAGGGCAGGGGTGGGGGGTTTTTTTTCTGTTTCTAACATACAATAGTTCTCTTTTTTTTATTTTCCCTCTGCCCAACAAAAAAAAGAAAAAAAAAAAAAAACAGGCTTAGATCTCCTTATAGAGTGCCTCAGATACTACACGAGGGCAGATGCCGAGCACGCCATGCGGTTCATCAACGGCACGCGGCTGGACGACCGCATCATCCGGACCGACTGGGATGCTGGGTTCAAGGAGGGGAGGCAGTATGGGAGAGGAAAGACTGGAGGACAGGTAAAGGCAATACCAGTTCACCCCCTGAACCTGATCCCCCCAAAAGGCTCTGTACTTCTTCGCTTGTTTTGTCTCACGCAGACTGTAAGGACCTGACGGCGAAGTTTAGTCGCTCCCGGCTTGTTTTGGTAACTGATGCTTGGTGTTAAAAGCTGGGAACAGCTTAAGGCCGTTTCCATCTAGGAGTCCAAACTTCCTGTAATGCAAGCAGAATGCTCCCAAATCCAAACCAGTACTCTTAAAATGATGCAGAATTTGTATGGAGGGGGACAGTGTAGCTGCCAGGCCAATCTCAGGACACAGCAGTTTGCCCCAGGGCAAAGGTGTGAGGTTCCTTTGCAGATTTCCAGGGTGGAGGGGATAAAATGTTCTGGGGGCCAAGCTTGGCAATTCAGAAAATTGGGCTGCAAAGCTGAATGAAAATATTTTGGGGTCTTCGTTGCTTATCTGAAAATACCTCGGCCATCAGATACATCACTATTTCTCATTTTCACCACCTTTTTGGTGGATTATTTGAAGAGATCTCAAACGAGTTGAAGTGCTTCTAACCTGAACTTCAGTTGCCCACCAACTGAACAAGGAGTGGGTGATGATTTTGAAGTCCAGGAGGAGACAGGAGTGCAGGTTACTGACGTGTGTGTTGTTGCTGTGCCCCAGGTGCGAGATGAGTACCGGACAGACTACGATGTGGGAAGAGGTGGCTTTGGCAAGATCATTCAGATGCAGAAGGCAAATCACCAGCCTGCAATCTATTAACTGCTGTGTGGTTCCTAGGTCATAGAGGGCTCTGTCCTTCCAGAGCTAGCCCTGTTGTCGCATTTGGGATCGGGGTATGGAGTGAGATCCAAGTTCCAGCAAAAGGTGGCCCTCCTTAGACTGTGGATATACATGTATTCATTCTCCCTTCCTTCTGAGCTAGAGAGGATGTTCTGTGCTGATACGGGGCAACAAGGGAAAAAAAAAGGACAGCTCTGCAGGATTCTGGGCAAGAAGAAGTGCAGCATGTCACACACACCTTATGCTATGACATCCTCTTCATGTTGCAGCTAAAGCAGGTGGCTTCCTCCAAGCTGCAACTGCAGCCATGGTTGCTTTCAAATGGGACATTTTAAGAGCTTAGCACCATCTGAGCCCTCCAGGTGCCTCGTGGGGATGCACAAGAGATTCAGGTTTCTGATTTACAACCTCACCTGCTTAAAAAGCAGTATCACTGTTTGGATGAGAGACGTGGAACAAGTCTTATTATCCACTTGGAGGTGCTTGTCTGCACATCTAGCCCTTTGTTTGGTCAGGGCCTGCAGAGCATTTCTCTTTGTGATGCCCCAGCGCTGCCTGGCTTTTCAGATCCTTGCTGTTCAGTGTGATTTTGTTAAAAAGTTTCTGTTAATTTTTTAAATAAACAGTTGTATTGGCTCTGGCTGAGGTGAAGGTAATTTTACCCCAGCAGCCCTCATGGACCTGTGCTTTGTATTGGTAGCTAGAAAGCTGGTTGATAACACACCAGTGTTTTGTCTACTGCTGAGCAGTGTTCCCACAGCATCAAGGCTATCTCTAACATTCTCCCCTCACCAGCAGGCTGGGGGGGGGGGGGCAAGATCTTGGGAGGGGGCAGAGCCAGCACAGCTGACCCAACCTGAGCAATGGGATATTTTGCTCAGCAATAAAAGCTAAGAGAAAGGAGAAGGGGGACATTCCTTATGAAAACATCTTTCTTCTGGAGCAGCTGCTGTGTGTACTGAAGCCCTGCTTCCTAGGAAGTGGCTGGACATCTCCTGCTGGTGGGAAATCAAGAATAAATATTTAGTTTTCCTTTGCTTCCACAGGCGACCTTGCTTTTGCTTGATTAAACTGCCTTTATCTTGACCCACAAGTTCCGTTTCCATCTCACTTTCTCCCTGCCCCGTCCTGCTGAGGAGGGGAGTGACAGAGCAGCCTGGTGGGTACCTGGAGTCCAGCCAGGGTCAGCCCCCCACAGTCCTGTTGGTTCCCAGCGTGAGGCCTGAGACCATGGCAGTTCTGTGTCAGTGTGCTATAGCTGTAGTATTTACTAAGCAGGCAGCTCCTGTCAGGTCACAGTTTGTTGGCTGCACTGCTTATCTCTTTGCTTTGCTGGGCTTGGGAACATGTTAGTACAAACCACTGCTCTGTGCTTTGCCCTGCACACTGATGGCCTTGCTCTGCTGGGGGAGCTGTCTCGTGGAGTGGATCAGGGAATACATCTCCCTCTCCCTAGCCGGGACTGGTGTGGGTGGCTTTATTGTGCAGGCTTGTGAGGTCTCTGCTCACCCTTACATGAGCTGTTTAATACTACTAATTAACACTGCTGGCATATCATGGGGTCTGTGTAATCTGGCGTCATCCTGGTGTAAGAGAAGGCAACTTTTGGGTGAGTCAGTACTAAAATGTGCCCTGCGGCGGCTGGTCCGTGGGTGGCAGAATGTGTGGAAGGATTTGGGCAGGTGCCTGGGCAGTTATCACCTCCCATAGCCCAGGACTTCACACCTGAACAGGCAAGTAACCCTGGCAAACTCACATGCCTCCTGACAGAAGGGGCCCCCAGTGAAAACCAGCAGCTTCTGGCACTGTGCTGGGCCTTGGCATGAGCCTGCTGAGCCACAGTTCAGGGCTATCAGAGGGCTGTGGTTAAGTCAGGGACCCAAGACACCTCTGAGAATATCTTGACAGAGGCTGGGGTACAAACTACATCTGAAGTCATGATAGTAGAGATACAAGAACACAATTGCCCCAGTCGTGAAAAACAAACGGTGGACATGGTGATCAACTATTAAGGGAGGAGGAGAAAGAGGGATTCAATCAAGAAGCTGGCTCTTCAGCAAAAAGGAACGAGGGAATTCAGACAAGAAGTGGAAACTACCCAGTCTGACTTCACCAGAACTTTGAGACATGCAGAAAGATTACAGACACCAGGCAGGTATGTGGGTTCCTGAGTGGTTGTCCCAGTGCTGGGGTAACGGGGGCAAAAGTCAGCAGGAAGACAGGTAAGCCCAGTGGCTATTCAATTCTTGGGAATAAAATGACCAGATGGATGTCATCACGTCCCTGTGGATGTGATCAAGGTAAGAACTATGCTAACAGCTAACAAGGAGGAGACACTAGCTTTCCTAAGTCTTGTGGGATTCTGAAGAATGCATATTCCAGGTTATTGTCAGCTTGTGAGCCCACTCCAACAAGTAACCCAAAAAAGGTAGGGACCAAAAAAGGTAGTTCCAAGCACCCTGCCATGGGCAGGGACACCCCTGAGGAGGGGATTGGTACAAGTGGCTTGGTGGGCACCTGGCATCCAGCCAAGGTCAGCCCACCCCAGCAGTGAGTCCTGTACCTGTTGCAGTTTGTGTGTCAAAACCACTTCCTCTATAACACAAACTGGGGTGGGGGGACACGTTTCTTAAGTGTCTTAAAGCTGCTGCCACTTGCAAACATATAGATAAACACTGAAAAGGGTGCACGAGTCTCCCTGTGTTTCTCTGCACTTCTGTCTTGGTGCTGGTTTTTCCTCTTCTGTTGTGCAGCAGCTGATGGCTGATGTCAAAAGCAAGTTGCTTGTGAAGTGTATTGGCTACTCTGAATCAGACCAGTACTTACGTTTCACATCAGCAGGTTCTGGGAGAACTTTCCCCGTCCTGTCGCCTGTTCCACCTGCTAACTGGAGTAGCCTGTGAAGCATAACAAATGCTCAGTGAGCACTTCAGAGAGGAAGGAACCAAGAACTCCCTTTCCTGTGTTTCTTCCTATTTTAAAAAGGCCATGGCTGGCACTCTCTAGCCTGTTCTTATGTCCAAACAAGGGACCAGAGGAGATGGAAACCCTTCTTGGTCTATCCCCAAGAACCTCTCAGCTAGGGCAGGTAATTCCACTGAACAAGTTAAATTCTGTCTGTAAATTTGGTTTCTATTGTGTAAATAATAGCAGCTGCTCCCTGCCCAGTAATGTGTCATCATGATTTTTCATGCATTATCTCATCTGGGGTGATAGAAACTGTTGCACATCCATCTGCAGACCAGGCATGTAAGTTAAATTAGTTTAACACTCACATGAAGTCTTGGTAACTGAGCTAGAGGAGGTGTTACATTTAGTTTGTTGAAATGTCTCCTACATGTTTGTTTTGCAAGTCAGGTTGCTGTGCCCGTACAACTGTCACAGGTCTTGAAGGAACTGCATGTTTATTCTTCATCAGGTTTAAGCAGTGACAGCACTGAGTGGCCTGTGATAAAGGCTGCCCCTGAGATGCAGTGAAAAGGAACAGGATGTTGATTTAAGAGTGAAAAATACGAGCAGTCATCTGTCCAGCTTTGCAAAGCACCACCAGCGTAAGATCCCTTGTGGAGAATATGAATTACAGAGGGAATAATTGCCTGAGTAAACACAGCAGGAAAATAGGAGAACTTAAGGAAGATGCAGAAGGGTAACAGCCATAAAATGTAGGATTAGCAAAAAATCTCATGTGTGTGAGGTAGGGAAACATAAGGCAAGCTTCGTATAGTGTCATATAGGGTCTCACACTTTGCACACACACCCCAGAGCCAGATGCACCAGGGCTGCCATCGCAGTAGGTGAGAAGGACCATCTCGTCCTCCCTCCCACACAAGAGGCAGACCACTTCACCCAGCAGGTCACCGTCAAACTCTGAGAAATCACTCCTCTTCCCAGCCATCTTCTCTGCTGCCAGAGCTGCCATCAGCTTCATGTGCAGGCACCAGCATGGCCTGTGCAGCCTCAAAAGGGTGTAGTCATAGCCCACAGTGACCAAGGATGGGCCCATGTGCATCACCAGCCTCCCCATCCCGTTGCCAGCACTCTGTGCCAGCATCAGGAAACTCACTTGGATCTTCTTGACCCCCTTCACGTAGACTTTGCCATGGTGAAGGCAGTAGGCAGTGATGGGGATGTGTCTTCAAACACCAGCTCACCCGTGCAGCCTGTGGGGATCCTGATGGTGGCAAAGAAGTGGGAGCTCATCAGGAAGTGGCCCCAACTGATGGAAAAATCATAAATCTGCTGCTTGCACTGCACATGCTGCCTCTGTCCCCTCCTCCTCGCACCACTCACTCAAGGGCTCACTTCCACCATGGTGAGGGTATGGGTGCTCTTGGGATACACTGTCTCATAAGAGAGGTACTCCTGGAAGCTCTGAGGGATCAGGATGAGGTCCTGCTGGGGGCAGGCGTGGTCACAGCATGTCATAAGCTCCAGGACAGACTGTGACAGGAACCACCCTCTGGCTGGTTGCAGTGTGGAGCAGGGAACACGAGTGGGAACCAGGTCACCAGCTGCAGCACTAGAAGAAAGGAGAGTAAGAGAAGAGCAACCATCTGGCAGCAAGCCATCATGCCAGGCCTGCAAAGGCAAAGCGAGGCGAGCATTAAGCCTGCATGATTAGAGAGCTCAGGGCCAGGAGGATTATCGGATGCACACAGCCTCCTGCCAGCTACTGGGTCATGCATGCTTATTCTTACCACAGAAAGCAGAAGGGTTGGGACCTGTCTGGAGCGAGGTGAGTGAGGAGTGATAGGAATCTCACCGGCTTTGATCTCCTGGAGCTCTTCTGGACAGCGAGGCCCGCACAGCACAACCCGGGGCTGTTGTAGAAATGTCGGGAGCTGAACAGTTTGCTCCATCATGCCGGTGACCCCATCTGCCTGGAGTCAATTCCCTGGATTCCAGGACTCGTGTCCTGCTGATGGATTTGTCCCACTCAGCAGCCACCGCTCCGCCAGCTGATCACCTGCAGGGAAGGGGATCTGATGGTACCCACTCGCTCACTGGTTTTACAGGGAAGAAGGTGGCACATCAACTCCTCAGGTTGAAGCATTTGGTGTCACAGAGCAGAACAGACTTGCCAGCCTATTTTAACTCCTAACCAGATTATTGTACCCAGTTTAAAATTTAATCTGCTGCTTCATCTCCATGTGCCAGGGCCACCCCCTTTCTGGTAGGGGAGCAGTGCAGGGGCAGCCTCTGCAGTGACAGCTCTTACTCCAAGGACTCAGTGTCACAGTTCCCCATCTCCACCCTGTCTCCGGCCTGTGTGGCCACACGGGCTCCTCTCAGCAGCCCCCCGGAGGTGGCATGCAGCTGGTGTGCAGAGAGCTACTGCGATGGCTCCACCAGGAAAGCTCTGTGTCCCCCACAGGCAGCTGGATACGAAATTAAGAACGCCACGGGATTAGGGTGGAGCCAGATGGGGAGGGAGGCTGAGAGTCACCCACTCTCTGCACCCCTGGCACCCTGACCCACCAGCACTGCACCCCTGGCATGGCCTGTGGCCAAGGCACACTGTCATCAGCCGGTGACCCCAGCCAGACCTCCACTGCAATGCTGCCCCGAACTCTTGCCTCCTCACCACGGCTTGAACCAAACACAGCAGGAGCCAGCAGCCTTCCAGCTCCCCTTTAAATCCAGGGGGATTTAAATGGCAACAGGGAGATCACAAACCAAGCCCTGGCTGTATCTCCCAGGGGAGTCTGAGTGTCCCCCTTGGCACTACAGCCAGCAAGGCAGTGCCGAGCCAGGAGCCAGCCCTGCTGCCCCTGCCCACGCTGGTGCCCATGCAGTGGCAGAGGCAAAAACAGGGGAGGGCTTCAGGTGTGTTTGGTGCTTTGCCAGGCCTGGAGTTGCCCTGGGGAAGGCCCATGGCTGGGCAGCAGGAGGAACACAGCCTGTGCTGCCAGCCTGGGTGGAAGTGCCCAGGCTGTCAGGGCAAACCGCAGGCAGCTGTGTGTGGGGCTGAGCACTTCCTTCCCCTAAAGGGTGGGTCGTCACAGGCCCCTCAGCAGCAAGACCAGGATCTGCTTTTTTGGTGAGTTTTCTCAAACCAGAAAATGGCCCCTCCCTGACTGGCACAG